CTGACCTTTCACTGTAAACTGACCTATCACTGTAAACTGACCTATTACTATAAACTGACCTATTACTATAAACTGACCTATTACTATAAACTGACCTATTACTATAAACTGACCTATTACTATAAACTGATCTATTACCGTAAACTTACATATTACTGTAAACTGACCTATTACTAAAAACTGATCTATTACTATAAGCTTACCTATTACTGTACACAAAACTATTACTATAAACTAACCTATTACTGTAAACTCCACTGGAGTTTGAGTCCAAACTTCGACTTTTCTCAGCACTGTTAGACTCTTTCCCAACGAGGTCTCTGCAAAAGTAAACTTTTGTGTCTTTTCTTCTCTTTCTTTACATAAATGTCTTTGAGCAAGTCAAATATTATTGTCTTTCCTGCAAGGTTTTCAACAAGTTTATTATTAGAATCTTTCCTGCAAGGTTTTAGACAAGTTTACTATTAGAATCTTTCCTGCAAGGTTTTAAACAAGTTTATTATTAGAATCTTTCCTGCAAGATTTGAAACAAGTTTATTATTAGAATCTTTTCCTGCAAGGTCTTTGAAAAGTTAAAATTAATTTAAAAGTGTCCGTTCAAGCTTTTTACCAAGTCAATAATTAGATTATTTCCTTGCAAGAACTCTAAAAAAGTGAGCTTTTAGAATCTTTCACTATCAGGTCTCTGAACAAGTCAACAATTAGAATATTTCCCTGTCAGGTCTGTAATAAGTCATATATTAGAATCTTGCCTTGCATGGTATTAAAAGAAGTCAATTATCCAAATCTGTCCCAGTTGTCAGTATGTAAGCTGAGTTGAATTTAATGTTATTATCCGAAGTTTAAAGGATTTTTGTAAAAATAAACATGTAAAATTAGAATGCATAAAGTGTTAAAACTGATTGATTTACAACCAACAATTATAAAACTATTTAACAATTTTCTTATATTTATATATTTATTAAGTTTAGACTTTAACTTAATGATAAAATTATAGGGATTATAGTTGTATAGTTAAGTGACTCCCTTCATTTAAAGAGGTTCATATCTGAGTCACAACAGTAACTTAAAAATGAATAATAATTTAGAACAAATCGTCATTTTTCTTGCTTGAAAAGTATTTACTTTTAACAACCTCCTATGTTGTTTTTGTAGCATAAATCTCCTAGTCATTTATATATAGAAACCACGATTGAAAATAATCGATTATTAAAGAGAAATATATGGATATCTCTTTCATACTTGGTACCGTAGTAAATCAGACAACTCTATAAAGGGAGGGTACTTTAAAATTATTCCTACAATCCCTTTAAACGTATAAAAATATATTTAATGAAATCTGTTTATCAAAATTTTTGTTTTGTGTTTATGACTCACCTTTCAATTCTGCTGGACATAAAGGATTCCCTGATTTTGGGCACAGAGCTCTCCCTGTATCTCTGGTTCGAGGAGTTGAAGGAGTTCTTCGAGAAGATGGAGTCCCTGTCCCTGTAGCTATTGGAGGGAGTGAAGTCCTTGTAAGTTGGTTTATACTGACGAATTAAATCTCTAGAGTCACTATCCCCACCTAAACATCAATCAATCAATCAATACATTAATTCAATAAATCAATCAATCAATCAAAAAATCAAATGATTAATACCTTGATAGACCTGTTTATTAAACAAACAAAAACGTATTCTAATAAATCGAAAATTAAATAAACAATAGAAAGATCCATTATTTGATAAATCAATTACATGATTAGATTATCACCAATTTAATAAATCAATAAATCATTCATCAGTTTATAGAGCTAACTGAAAAAGTGATTTGGTCAAATTTGTATTAAAAGTATGAATCAAATAGTCCTACTTAAGGATAAAATGATAAATCAGAAAAAACAATATATTACGAAAAATATTTGTTTCTTTCTTAATTTCATGAAAGATTCATTATGTTTATGTAATCTGCAGACTACAGCTGCCTCTGTAGAAAAATGGCATGTTTACATGATTGACGCCAAAACTTATATATACATAGCTAGGTTAACCTTGTAGATCTTTAATCCGGGACGCAATGCTCCCTGGTTTGGATGTTGGTAGAATAAACGGTTTTGAAGCTGACATTTTGGAAACACCATTCAGCTAAATGTCGAAATGATTATATCTGCAAAAGGGTTGATTGTTATAGTTTTTTTTCATGATTTTATTTAATTTAGAAATGTTAAATTGATCTTTTTGACGCTGGGGCGCCTGGCTCAATGCTGGTATAATTTATTTGATTTAAAACATTTTGTTTAATTTTTGTAAATTATTTTTATTAAATGACTGATTGATAAGTGTTCTGGGTGTATGGCGGCAGAACGGCGGGCCCAAGAAATCCGCGAATTTTAAACACGTGTTGTTTTTTAAAGTTCAAGAGCTGTTTTGCTGATATCTTAAGATATTCTATAAATCAATTTAATTGGTTTAATACGTCAACAGTAGTTTCTTTTTATAATTTGAATATACTTTCGAATATTTGTTTTCTTTTTTAACACGTTTTAATTGCTGCTAAAGTACAGGGTTACCCACAAAGGATTCAGAGACGACTGTACGGAATTTATACTATCTGATTTCTTATATTTAGATTTCCTGTAGCTTTAAACTTCTTTCTTTCTTTGCAAAATCATTTAAAAACCCATTAAAAGACTCCATCAAGGGAAAAAAACTTATCTCAATATTTGGATCGTCCTATTTTAAGAGTTTCCAGTCGTCTTTACATAATATTTGAGGCAAAACGGGACTGCATGCCAAACGAAATGTATGTGTAAGGATTACTGATGGCTTTAATATATTTTATGCTACAAGGATCATTGACTGTTCAAATATAGTCTATGCTACAAGGATCACTGATTGCTCAAATAAATATTCTATGCTCTAATATATTCTGTGCTCTACGGATCACTGATTGCTCTTATGCTATAAGAATCACTGATAACTCTAACATATATTATGCTCTCAGGATCACTCATTGCTCTTATATATTCTATGCTACAAGGATCACTGATAACTCTAACATATATTAGGCTCTCAGGATCACTGATTGCTCTTATATATTCTATGCTATAAGGATAACTGATTACTCTATCATATTCTATGATCTCAGGATCACTGATTGCTCATATATATTCTATGCTATAAGGATCACTGATTGCTCTAACATATTCTATGCTCTCAGGATCAGTGAATGCTCTAATATATTCTATGCTCTATGAATCAATGATTTCTCTAATATATTCTATGCTCTAAGGATCACTGATTGTAGACTGTCTGAATCACCAGAACTGGAGAGTTTACTCTTACAGACAATCCAGGCAAAACACTAAAGATAATATACACAGATCAGTATTCTGCAGGGGGATTCAGAAAACAGGAAAAAATTAGCTGAAAAATCTACAGGGGGATTCTTAAAAACAGAATTTAATATTTAAAGATTCTGCAGCCGCATGGGGATTTTTGAAACAGGAAAAAAGTTAAAAATTCTGCAGGGGGATTCAGAAAACTTAACAGTTATTTGAAAAATCTCCGGCGGGATTTAAAAACAGAAACAAATATTTTAAAACTTTGCAGGGGAATTCAGAAAACTGGGACAAATATTAGAAAGTTTTGCAGGGGGATTCAGAAAACAGGGACAAATATTTGAAAATTCTGTAGGGGGATTCAGAAAACAGGATCAAATAGCTGAAAATTGTGCAGGGGGATTCAGAAAACAGGAACAAATATTTAAAAATTCTGCAGGGATATTCAGAAAACAGGATAAAAAAGCTGAACATTTTTAAATCCTGCAGGGATATTCATGAAACAACAAAAAATATTTTAGAATTTTACAGAGGGATTCATAAAACAGAAACAAAAAGTTGAACATTAACAAATGGACTGATTGAAAACTAGAAAATGAAGAACTCGAAAATAGTCTGAAAATGCGAGTACGAAATTGTTTTCATAATTTTAAGTTTAATTACAGAGAGACCCGACTCACAACGTTATCCTTCAAATCATTTTTTAAACAATAATATGAAGATATCGTTTTTTTCTATTTTGAAAACTGTCGAATTCTACCAATTTCCTTTTTTGTCTACTGCATAAAATCTTTAAGTAACATTTATAGAAAAATTATCAGTTTTAAGATAAACTGTGTTGTGAATCAGGGTTGTTTAAAATTCATTTAACAATCTCTTAAAGTTTCAGGTCTATAGTTTTTTTGAGGAGGGGGAGGGGATATATTGGGGGNGGGGGTCACGGATTGATAATAGGGAATCCTTGTGCTTGAAACACTATTGAATCCGTCTGCAGGAATGACAGGATAAATTGAAATGAATTAATTACAGATTTGTAATTATATTTCAATTGTTAGATCGTGGAGCTATTCATTCCTTTAATTCTGTTTATCTCTTTTCATCTACAGGGTTACCTTCAAAGAATGAGACTTCAGAGATGATTGCACGAAATTTGTTGAGGCCTTTTTCTTACATTCAGGGTTCCTTGTATCATTCTATAAACCATCCAAATACACCATTAAATACACAAACCAACGATCAAATCTCAGATCGTCATATTATAAGAGTTTTGGGTCGTCTTTACAGTCTCATCCTTTGAGGGTAACCCTGTAGTTCCAAGGGATACTGCTGGTACGTAACTATAAGTATCATGGGCGCCGGGTTCCCAAGCTAGTATATTATATTTTCTTTAATGTTCAATATATGACTATATTCAATATATTCCTCTATATTCAATATATACATATTGAATATACCTCTGGAGTGGATATTGAATATATCCTTGTATATTGAATATACATCTTGAATATACCTCTTGAGTGGATATTGAATATACATCATGAATATACCTCTGGAGTGAATATTGAATATATCCCTGTATATTGAATATACATCTTGAATATACCTCTTGAGTGGATATTGAATATATCCCTGTATATTGAATATCCGCTGAAACAATGTATTTGCCCGTCTACGGCGTAGGATCTGGGAAAATTGTCAAATTTTGATGGATTTGAAACTAACCACTTATGTGAATAGAGAGATGGGGAGAGATGGGTTAAAGGAGAAGGAGGATGGCGGGGGAAGGGGGGGAATTTTGTGGAATAATGGAATACGAAAATTGGAGATTCTTGTCTTAGAAAAAGATAACTAGACCTAGACCTAAACAGGCGTACAAATATGTAGACCTAGAACCAGAGCTAAATCTATACCTAGACCTATACCTAGAACCAGAGCTAAATCTATACCTAGACCTATACCTAGACCTATACCTAGACCTATACCTAGACCTATACCTATACCTAGACTTAGACCTATACCTATACCTATACCTATACCTATACCTATACCTATACCTATACCTATACCTATACCTATACCTATACCTATACCTATACCTATACCTATACCTATACCTAGACCTATACCTATACCTATATCTATACCTATACCTATACCTATACCTATACCTATACCTATACCTATACCTATACCTATACCTATACCAATACCTAGACCTAGACCTAGACCTAGACCGAGACCTATATCTCTGTTGTAGATGTGTAAAAGTGATGAAGATAAACCACTACTTGAAGAATCAGTAAATAGTTTCAGGATGAATTAATTCACAAGGCTACACTCAATTTTACTTAGACCAGGAATGTCCTTGAAAAGTGTAAACCCAATGAGTCGAAACATTTAAGAAATAAATGCACTTCCATTTTTAAATATGAAATGCGCTGAAGGACATTATAAAGCGGATGAAAATTGTTAATTTCAAATTTGATATTTATTTACGCTATCTAAAATATACAAATAAAACTGTAAACGATACACAGACCCAGAAAGTAAAACACAAACCAATAAAAAATAAAACTCCAAACTGATAAAAAAACCAAATCTACATACCAAAACCGTTAAGAAACCAGACCTGCAATTCCAAACTGATAAAAAACTAAACCTACAATCCCAAACTAATAAGAAATTAAAACTACAAATCCAAACTGATAAGAAATCATGAACCTACACTCCCAAACCGATAAAAAACCAAATCTACAAACCCAACCTGATAAAAAACCAAACCTTCAAACCCAACCCGATAAAAAACCATATCTACAAACCCTACCTGATAAAAAACTAAATCTGCAAACCCAAACCGATAAAAAACCAAATATAATAACCCAAACCGATAAAAAACCAAATGTACAAACCCAACCCGATAAAAAACGAAATTTACAAACCCAAACCGATAAAAAAAAAACAAAAAAAAAACAAACTGCAAAATGAGTCCATAGAATTGAAATGAAACCCAATCCAAAATGCTTAAATTTTTCGTCTCAACTAAATGTGTAAATATATGCATGTTGAACTAATATAGTAGAACCATGGGCTTACAACTCATAATAGTATGTCAAATTCCAAATGATCCAAATATCTTTAAATTTAATAATTAACGAAATAACCCAAAATTCAACTTATGCAATTAGCAGAATTCGCGTAGATTCGATTTATCAAATTATGCAAATTTTCCCAAATTCCGTGCGAAAATCAATGATTACATTCAATCTCAGATAAAATATAAACTTGCAAGGAAATTAAGGAAACAAATGGATTTATTAATTTTTCTATTCTATTAAAATTACAGAATCTAGCAGTAATTGTAACTGATAAAAGTCAAAAATTCTATCCTCCTATTTTTACTAAGGCCGAATTTAAAGAATTTGAGCCACGGCTTAAATTTGAGATGCGTCTCAAAAATTGTTGGTTCCCCTTAAAATTGTATTCCATGTTTAAATATTTAAGTCGGCGATCAATTGAAACCGGCTTTTGGCGAATTTTAGACGCGGCTCAAATTCATTAAATTCGTACTCTGATGTCCTTTTCATGAATAGTCCTAGTTCATAAGTGGACCCCTGTCGAGATCTTCGCCACGAGATTTGGAATAAATTTCTATATTTAATATATTGAAGATTCGAATATGATATTTGATACAAACCAAAACTGATTTTATAATGAGAAAAAAACATTTTCAACCAAATTTCTGTCAGTTATAGATGTGTAAACGGATTTGATTAGATTTTTTAGACAGAGGGGGGGGGGGGTGTAGGCTTTGCCCCCTACTACTAAAAATAAAATTAACAGTCCATGAGCACAAAGTAGAATTTATACCATGATTTTTTCTTCTATTCTATTTATCTTTTCTTATTCATAAGAAAATAAAAGCATACGTAAATTGATGGGGGAAGGGGAGGGGGGGCACAGACCAATTTTATGAAAATTGTGGGTTTTCACTTGTTAAAGTAATCTTGACTCTAGTATCTATCTATTATCTTTGTGTGCATGTCATGAGTTGGTTTGATATTGGTTTTGGCAGATTATACAGTATTATACCTTCTCACATGCATCATCATTATAGGCAGGCAGGAGACAGAGTTTTCAGTTATACTGTATATACTAGATATAGAGACAGAGTTTTTAGTTATACTGTATATACTAAATATAGAGACAGAGATTTTAGTTATACTGTATATACTGGATATAGAGACAGAGTTTTCAGTTATACTGTATATACAAGATATAGAGACAGAGTTTTCAGTTATACTGTATATACTAAATATAGAGACATAGTTTTTAGTTATACTGTATATACTGGATATAGAGACAGAGTTTTCAGTTATACTGTACATACTAGATATAGAAACAGTTTTCAGTTATACATATATATATTTATGTAAATATATATAACTATAAAGCAATAATCAGAGCAGCTTCTCAGTTTTCATATTTATTAATACGGCTGGACTAAATATATATATATTTATTAATACGGCTGAACCAAATTGGCTGAACTTTTTAGAGGAAACCCATTGGTACCCTGGGGGTAACAAAGGCTAAAGAAATTGATTTTCTTTTCAAGAATTTTTTTCTTTCTTTCAAAATTCAATTTTTTTTCATTTCACGGGCAACGCCGGGCACTCCAGCTAGTACTGTATACAGGAAATTGAAAAAAATTCTAGTTTCCGGCCCTAATTTGCAAGTATATGCAAAATTGCCAATTTCGCTCCACTTTGCAAGTGTAATTCTTGAATTATCAAAATTTGCATAAAGAGAGAATTAGGGGAAAAGACCCTCTGAACTTTATCTGATCAATTAAACTTTCAAGTGTTCTTCCAGATGCAACTTAACATTTTATAGAAATAATTCAAGTGTCCTTCCAGATGCAACTATAAATTTTATAGAAATAATTCAAGTGTTTCATGCACATAGGGTCCTATATTATATGTTAACCGATTCAAATGTCTTTTAACAAGTTTCTTCTTTATTTGTAGACTAATTCATTGTTTTGATTTTTTCATCCTTTCCGGGCATATTCATTATTCATCCTTTCCGGGTATATTCATAATTCATCCTTTCCGGGTATATTTATTATTCATCCTTTCCGGGTATATTCATTATTCATTCTTTCCGGGTATATTCATTATTCATCCTTTCTGGGCATATTCATTATTCATCCTTTCCGGGTATATTCATTATTCATCCTTTCCGGTTTTATTCATTATTCATCCTTTCCGGCATATTCATTATTCATCCTTTCCGGGTATATTTATTTTTTATTCTTTTTGGACATTTTCATTATTCATCATTTTCGAATATATTCAATATTCATCTATCCCGGACATATTCATCATTAATTCTTTTCGGACATATTCATCATTAATTCTTTTCGTACATATTCATCATTAATTCTTTTCAGACATATTCATCATTTATTCTTTTCGGACATATTTATCATTAATTCTTTTCGGACATATTTATCATTAATTCTTTTCGGACATATTCATCATTAATTCTTTTCGGACATATTCATCATTAGTTATTTTCGGACATATTCATCATTAATTCTATTCGGACATATTTATCATTAATTCTTTTCGGACATATCCATAATTAATTCTTTTCGGACATATTCATCATTAATTCTTTTCGGGCATATTCATTATTCATTCTTTATGGACATTTTCATTATTCATCATTTCCGGACACATTCAATATTCATCTATCCCGGACATATTTTTATTAATTCTTACCGGACATATTCATTATTCATTCTTTTCGGGCATATTCAGTATTCATCCTTTACGGGCATATTCGTTATTAATTTTTCATGTGTAGCATAGAGAATCTGGAATTTCTGCTCCATCTTAAAGCAAGAAACATTTTAAAAATCTTTAAAATTTGAAATACTTTTTGTAAATATTAGAAAATGGAGGATTGACTACTAAAATGTAGTTGGGCCGAGGGGGGGAGGGCTCCCCCCTTTTTACATCTTCTTGAAATATGAGTCAGGGTTATTTCTCCGAAAGTAATCAAAATATGTAAATGCGCCAGACTTGGAAGGTCTCCAGTCAAAAATGACAGAGAAATCAGCTGACTGGTGATGAGACCTAGTTTTGTCGCCATCTTTTTATTTTGGTGCCATAATTTTCACTTTCTATTGTTTTCCCCTCTTTTTGTGTTTATTAATTTCTAGATATAATTAAAGGTATTTTAAATTTAGAATTTTTAACAAGTGTTCAGTTCCTGTCCATTCTTTTTAATTTTTTCATTTTATTTTGGTATCTCTTCATTTCTGGCAAGATGTTGATTAAAATAACAGTTTTTTTTATATCGGATTGTTCAACTGGGAATTCATTAAATTTTGACAATAAAACAATTAAACCACATAAACCTCCATTATGCATAGCAGCGTTTGAAAGATACCATTCTTTTATAAAAAATTTAAACAATTATTCAGGTTTAGCAAAACTTAAACATTTTTCGAGTAATTACGGAAACCGTTAATTGATAGGTCTGAATTGTATGTATTTTGAAGAAATTCAACTTCATGAATATTTTATCCTGTTAGTTTTTAATTTAAATTTTTTTCTTGGCATACAATTGTTTACATTTTCGAACATAAACAAACTTATATATAAATACTGCAGTCTACACACAGGAATTTGGTTTGAGACACGAACAAAAAGTATTGAATATTTTTATATTAAATTATTATTTTTGTCAATATTATCATGAATGTGCATTGTATTTTGTTTTATTATTATTATTTGATAATAGATAGGAGATGGGAAAGGGGT